CTGGAGTTACAAGGGGCTGAAGGTGTTACCTTTAGTTACAATGGGCTGAAGGTGTTACCTGGAGTTACAATGGGCTGAACGTGTTACCTGGAGTTACAATAGGCTGATGTTATTACCTGGAGTTACATTATGGGCTGATGTTATTACCTGGAGTTACAATGGGCTGAAGGTATTACCTGGAGTTACAAGGGGCTGAAGGTGTTACCTTGAGTTGCAATGGGCTGAAGGTGTTACCTGGAGTTACAAGGGACTGAAGGTATTACCTTGAGTTACAATGGGCTGAAGTTGTTACCTTGAGTTACAACGGGCTGAAGGTGTTACCTTGAGCTACAATGGGCTGAAGGTGTTACCTGGAGTTACAAGGGGCTGAAGGTGTTACCTTGAGCTACAATGGGCTGAAGGAGTTACCTGGAGTTACAATGGGCTGATGCTGTTACCTGGAGTTACAATGGGCTGATGTTGTTACCTTGAGTTGCAATGGGCTGAAGGTGCTACCTGGAGTTACAAGGGACTGAAGGTATTTCCTTGAGTTACAATGGGCTGAAGTTGTTACCTGGAGTTACAATGGGCTGATGCTATTACCTGGAGTTACAATGGGCTGAAGGTGTTACAATGAGTTACAATGGGCTGAAGGTATTACCTTGAGTTACAATGGGGTGAAGGTGTTACCTGGAGTTACAATGGGCTGAAGTTACCTGGAGTTACAATAGGCTGATGTTATTACCTGGAGTTACAATGGACTGAAGGTGTTACCTGGAGTTACAATGGGCTTAAGTTGTTACCTGAAGTTGCAAGGGTCTGAAGGTGTTACCTTGAGTTATAATGGGCTGATGTTATTACCTGGCGTTACAATGGGCTGAATGTGTTACCTGGAGTTACAATGGGCTGAAGTTGTTAACATGAGTTGCAATGGGCTGAAGGTGTTACCTGGAGGTACAATGGGCTGAAGGTGTTACCTGGAGTAACAACGGGCTGAAGGTGTTACCTGGAGTTACAACAGGCTGAAGGTGTTACCTGGAGTTACAAGGGGCTGAAGGTATTACCTTGAGTTACAATGGGCTGAAGGTGTTACCTTGAATTACAATGGGCTGAAGGTGTTACCTTGAGTTACAATGGGCTGAAGGAGTTACCTGGAGTTACAATGGGCTGATGCTGTTACCTGGAGTTACAATGGGCTGATGTTATTACCTGGAGTTACAATGGACTGAAGGTGTTACCTGGAGTTACAATGGGCTTAAGTTGTTACCTGAAGTTGCAAGGGTCTGAAGGTGTTACCTTGAGTTATAATGGGCTGATGTTATTACCTGGCGTTACAATGGGCTGAATGTGTTACCTGGAGTTACAATGGGCTGAAGGCGTTACCTTGAGTTACAATGGGCTGAAGGTATTACCTGGAGTTACAATGGGCTGGAGTTGTTACCTTGAGTTACAATGGGCTGAAGGGGTTACCTGGAGTTACAATGGGCTGAAGGTGTTACAATGAGTTACAATGGGCTGAAGGTATTACCTGGCATTACAATGGGCTGAATGTGTTACCTGGAGTTACAATGGGCTGAAGTTGTTAACATGAGTTGCAATGGGCTGAAGGTGTTACCTGGAGGTACAATGGGCTGAAGGTGTTACCTTGAGTTACAACGGGCTGAAGGTGTTACCTGGAGATACAAGGGGCTGAAGGTGTTACAATGAGTTACAATGGGCTGAAGGTATTACCTTGAGTTACAATGGGCTGAAGTTGTTACCTTGAGTTACAAGGGGCTGAAGGTGTTACCTTTAGTTACAATGGGCTGAAGGTGTTACCTGGCATTACAATGGGCTGAATGTGTTACCTGGAGTTACAATGGGCTGAAGGCGTTACCTTGAGTTACAATGGGCTGAAGGTATTACCTTGAGTTACAATGGGCTGAAGTTGTTACCTGGAGTTACAATGGGCTGAAGGTATTACCTGGAGTTACAATGGGCTGAAGGTGTTACCTTGAGTTACAACGGGCTGAAGGTGTTACCTGGAGTAACAACGGGCTGAAGGTGTTACCTGGAGTTACAATGGGCTGATGTTGTTACCTGGAGTTACAATGGGCTGATGTTGTTATTTTGAGTAACAAGGGGCTGAAGTTGTTACCTTGAGTTCGGTCATTTGGTCAGACGGTCATTTTTAGGTCACCTGAGACAATGTCTCAAGTGACCTATTGCGATCGCCTTTTGTCCGTTGTCGTCCGTCGTCCGTCGTGCGTCCGTAAACAATTTACATTTTCGACTTCTTCTCCAAAACCCCTGTTTTAGGTCACCTGAGACAATGTCTCAAGTGACCTATTGCGATCGCCTTTTGTCCGTTGTCGTCCGTCGTCCGTCGTGCGTCCGTAAACAATTTACATTTTCGACTTCTTCTCCAAAACCCC